ATTTTGGAAAATTTTGGAATTTCATAACTTTTTTTCTATTATAGATAGAAAGCTGAAATTTTCAGCGATTTTTATTCCAGTAGAAGGACTACAATCCCTGAAAATTTCAACTTATTTGGACTTATGGTTCCTGAGATAAAATTGTGTTAAGGAATTTGGGGTGATTTATCAATTTTTCAATTTTTCTGAGTGCCTTTTTTCATAGATTTCGGCTTCAAATCTGAGAATAATTTAGTGTATGGAGTTTGGGGGATCCCAAATGACCATTAGGACACAAAATCTCAACAAAAAAAAATTTGAAATTTCATCGTTTTAGTAGGAAGGTACCTACCTTATGATTTAGATTTTCGAAAATTTTGGAATTTCATAACTTTTTTTCTATTATAGATAGAAAGCTGAAATTTTCAGCGATTTTTATTCCAGTAGAAGGACTACAATCCCTGAAAATTTCAACTGATTTGGACTTATGGTTGCTGAGATAAAATTGTGTTAAGGAATTTAGGGTGATTTATCAATTTTTCAATTTTTCTGAGTGCCTTTTTTCATATATTTCGGCTTCAAATCTGAGAATAATTTAGTGTATGGAGTTTGGGGGATCCCAAATGAGCATTAGGACACAAAATCTCAACAAAAAAAAATTTGAAATTTCATCGTTTTAGTAGGAAGGTACCTACCTTATGATTTAGATTTTGGAAAATTTTGGAATTTCATAACTTTTTTTCTATTATAGATAGAAAGCTGAAATTTTCAGCGATTTTTATTCCAGTAGAAGGACTACAAGCCCTGAAAATTTCAACTGATTTGGACTTATGGTTGCTGAGATAAAATTGTGTTAAGGAATTTAGGGTGATTTATCAATTTTTCAATTTTTCTGAGTGCCTTTTTTCATATATTTCGGCTTCAAATCTGAGAATAATTTAGTGTATGGAGTTTGGGGGATCCCAAATGAGCATTAGGACACAAAATCTCAACAAAAAAAAATTTGAAATTTCATCGTTTTAGTAGGAAGGTACCTACCTTGTGATTTAGATTTTCGAAAATTTTGGAATTTCATAACTTTTTTTCTATTATAGATAGAAAGCTGAAATTTTCAGCGATTTTTATTCCAGTAGAAGGACTACAATCCCTGAAAATTTCAACTGATTTGGACTTATGGTTGCTGAGATAAAATTGTGTTAAGGAATTTAGGGTGATTTATCAATTTTTCTGAGTGCCTTTTTTCATATATTTCGGCTTCAAATCTGAGAATAATTTAGTGTATGGAGTTTGGGGGATCCCAAATGACCATTAGGACACAAAATCTCAACAAAAAAAAATTTGAAATTTCATCGTTTTAGTAGGAAGGTACCTACCTTATGATTTAGATTTTCTAAAATTTTGGAATTTCATAACTTTTTTTCTATTATAGATAGAAAGCTGAAATTTTCAGCGATTTTTATTCTAGTAGAAGGACTACAATCCCTGAAAATTTCAACTTATTTGGACTTATGGTTCCTGAGATAAAATTGTGTTAAGGAATTTAGGGTGATTTATCAATTTTTCAATTTTTCTGAGTGCCTTTTTTCATAGATTTCGGCTTCAAATCTGAGAATAATTTAGTGTATGGAGTTTGGGGGATCCCAAATGACCATTAGGACACAAAATCTCAACAAAAAAAAATTTGAAATTTCATCGTTTTAGTAGGAAGGTACCTACCTTATGATTTAGATTTTCGAAAATTTTGGAATTTCATAACTTTTTTTCTATTATAGATAGAAAGCTGAAATTTTCAGCGATTTTTATTCCAGTAGAAGGACTACAATCCCTGACAATTTCAACTGATTTGGACTTATGGTTGCTGAGATAAAATTGTGTTAAGGAATTTGGGGTGATTTATCAATTTTTCAATTTTTCTGAGTGCCTTTTTTCATAGATTTCGGCTTCAAATCTGAGAATAATTTAGTGTATGGAGTTTGGGGGATCCCAAATGACCATTAGGACACAAAATCTCAACAAAAAAAAATTTGAAATTTCATCGTTTTAGTAGGAAGGTACCTACCTTATGATTTAGATTTTCGAAAATTTTGGAATTTCATAACTTTTTTTCTATTATAGATAGAAAGCTGAAATTTTCAGCGATTTTTATTCCAGTAGAAGGACTACAATCCCTGAAAATTTCAACTGATTTGGACTTATGGTTGCTGAGATAAAATTGTGTTAAGGAATTTGGGGTGATTTATCAATTTTTCAATTTTTCTGAGTGCCTTTTTTCATAGATTTCGGCTTCAAATCTGAGAATAATTTAGTGTATGGAGTTTGGGGGATCCCAAATGACCATTAGGACACAAAATCTCAACAAAAAAAATTTTGAAATTTCATCGTTTTAGTAGGAAGGTACCTACCTTATGATTTAGATTTTCGAAAATTTTGGAATTTCATAACTTTTTTCCTATTATAGATAGAAAGCTGAAATTTTCAGCGATTTTTATTCCAGTAGAAGGACTACAATCCCTGAAAATTTCAACTGATTTGGACTTATGGTTGCTGAGATAAAATTGTGTTAAGGAATTTAGGGTGATTTATCAATTTTTCAATTTTTCTGAGTGCCTTTTTTCATAGATTTCGGCTTCAAATCTGAGAATAATTTAGTGTATGGAGTTTGGGGGATCCCAAATGACCATTAGGACACAAAATCTCAACAAAAAAAAATTTGAAATTTCATCGTTTTAGTAGGAAGGTACCTACCTTATGATTTAGATTTTCGAAAATTTTGGAATTTCATAACTTTTTTCCTATTATAGATAGAAAGCTGAAATTTTCAGCGATTTTTATTCCAGTAGAAGGACTACAATCCCTGAAAATTTCAACTGATTTGGACTTATGGTTGCTGAGATAAAATTGTGTTAAGGAATTTGGGGTGATTTATCAATTTTTCAATTTTTCTGAGTGCCTTTTTTCATAGATTTCGGCTTCAAATCTGAGAATAATTTAGTGTATGGAGTTTGGGGGATCCCAAATGACCATTAGGACACAAAATCTCAACAAAAAAAAATTTGAAATTTCATCGTTTTAGTAGGAAGGACCTTATGATTTAGATTTTGGAAAATTTTGGAATTTCATAACTTTTTTTCTATTATAGATAGAAAGCTGAAATTTTCAGCGATTTTTATTCCAGTAGAAGGACTACAATCCCTGAAAATTTCAACTTATTTGGACTTATGGTTCCTGAGATAAAATTGTGTTAAGGAATTTGGGGTGATTTATCAATTTTTCAATTTTTCTGAGTGCCTTTTTTCATAGATTTCGGCTTCAAATCTGAGAATAATTTAGTGTATGGAGTTTGGGGGATCCCAAATGACCATTAGGACACAAAATCTCAACAAAAAAAAATTTGAAATTTCATCGTTTTAGTAGGAAGGTACCTACCTTATGATTTAGATTTTCGAAAATTTTGGAATTTCATAACTTTTTTCCTATTATAGATAGAAAGCTGAAATTTTCAGCGATTTTTATTCCAGTAGAAGGACTACAATCCCTGAAAATTTCAACTGATTTGGACTTATGGTTGCTGAGATAAAATTGTGTTAAGGAATTTGGGGTGATTTATCAATTTTTCAATTTTTCTGAGTGCCTTTTTTCATAGATTTCGGCTTCAAATCTGAGAATAATTTAGTGTATGGAGTTTGGGGGATCCCAAATGACCATTAGGACACAAAATCTCAACAAAAAAAAATTTGAAATTTCATCGTTTTAGTAGGAAGGACCTTATGATTTAGATTTTGGAAAATTTTGGAATTTCATAACTTTTTTTCTATTATAGATAGAAAGCTGAAATTTTCAGCGATTTTTATTCCAGTAGAAGGACTACAATCCCTGAAAATTTCAACTTATTTGGACTTATGGTTCCTGAGATAAAATTGTGTTAAGGAATTTGGGGTGATTTATCAATTTTTCAATTTTTCTGAGTGCCTTTTTTCATAGATTTCGGCTTCAAATCTGAGAATAATTTAGTGTATGGAGTTTGGGGGATCCCAAATGACCATTAGGACACAAAATCTCAACAAAAAAAAATTTGAAATTTCATCGTTTTAGTAGGAAGGTACCTACCTTATGATTTAGATTTTGGAAAATTTTGGAATTTCATAACTTTTTTTCTATTATAGATAGAAAGCTGAAATTTTCAGCGATTTTTATTCCAGTAGAAGGACTACAATCCCTGAAAATTTCAACTTATTTGGACTTATGGTTCCTGAGATAAAATTGTGTTAAGGAATTTAGGGTGATTTATCAATTTTTCAATTTTTCTGAGTGCCTTTTTTCATAGATTTCGGCTTCAAATCTGAGAATAATTTAGTGTGTGGAGTTTGGGGGATCCCAAATGACCATTAGGACACAAAATCTCAACAAAAAAAAAATTGAAATTTCATCTTTTTAGTAGGAAGGTACCTACCTTATGATTTAGATTTTGGAAAATTTTGGAATTTCATAACTTTTTTTCTATTATAGATAGAAAGCTGAAATTTTCAGCGATTTTTATTCCAGTAGAAGGACTACAATCCCTGAAAATTTCAACTTATTTGGACTTATGGTTCCTGAGATAAAATTGTGTTAAGTAGTTTGGGGTGATTTATCAATTTTTCAATTTTTCTGAGTGCCTTTTTTCATAGATTTCGGCTTCAAATCTGAGAATAATTTAGTGTATGGAGTTTGGGGGATCCCAAATGACCATTAGGACACAAAATCCCAACAAAAAAAGAAAATTGAAATTTCATCGTTTTATAGTTCTGAGGCAGATACCTTATGATTTAGATTTTGAAAAACGGATGATCCCTTATTTTTTGAAGCATTATCAAACTACTATGTTTCTATTGTTCCTTTGATAAATGCCTAGAGAATACTTTGCTTCAATTCATTTGGCATTAGAAAACATTTTCATCTTCTTACCTTCTATACAGGGTTGTTAAAAATTAAGTAAACATTTTAGGCAAACTCCTATCATTCAATAAATATAATTTTTCCAGAGTGCAATGTACATGCAAGGCGGCGCAGTAGGATTTTACTTGGGCGACATCAGAAGATTGTCAGACGATATGAAAGCCTTAAAACCCACAGTAACCCCGGCGGTGCCGCGATTACTAAACCGAATATACGACAAAGTACAGTCGGATATTAATGGAAATTGTGTGAAGAAAATGCTGTTCAATATGGCTTTGAGTTCAAAAGAGAGTGAACTAAAAAGGTAAGAATCATAACCTACTAAATACCCAAAATTTTTTTGACAATACATCCTTATAATGACAGTTATTTGTTGCAGAGGTATAATAAGAAAAAACAGTTTCTGGGACATGTTCGTATTCAAAAAAGTCCAAGAAGGCATGGGCGGAAGACTGAGATTAATGCTAGTAGGCTCCGCACCCTTAGCAGAAAACGTTTTGACATTTATCCGATGCGCAATGGGCTGCGTGGTAAGTTATTCTCCCTCTATTAGTAAAATCAAAAATTTCCATTTTCAAATCCTAGGTCGTAGAAGGCTACGGACAAACAGAATGCTGCGCCCCAGTGACTCTAACGATTCAAGGGGATCACGTTCCGGGGCACGTTGGGCCTCCTTTGGCTTGTTGCTGTCTTAAATTGAGCGACGTGCCTGAAATGGAATATTGGTCCAGGAATAATCAGGGTGAAGTGTGTGTTAAGGGCACTAATGTTTTCAAAGGGTACTTTAAAGATCCGGAAAAAACTGAAGAGGTTGTTGACGAATTTGGCTGGCATCATACTGGAGATATTGGAATGTGGATGCCTGTAAGTTACTATACAATTTATTTAGAGGATTTTTAGTAATCAATTTAATTTCCAGAATGGTACATTAAAAATAATTGACAGAAGGAAACATATTTTCAAATTATCGCAGGGTGAATACATCGTGCCGGAAAAAATTGAAAATATCTACATTAGATCGCAATATGTGGCTCAAGTTTTCGTACACGGAGAATCTCTTAAAGTAAGTTTTTCATTAACTCTTTAATTAAAAGATGCCGGTGTAAACCTAGTTATTTCGATTGAGTTGATATACAGGGTGCCATTTATAACCAATCGAGTCAATTATAGAAATTGTATTGACTAGCTTTGGGTACGTTTACATCGGTTTGGGAATTTTTGATTATTTAAAAATGTTCAACTTCGCAGGTCAATTCCGCAGAAAGTAATTGAGCTAGCAAACTCAATTTATAGAGAATTTAATGCTCATTCCAGTGTATAATTTATTTTGGAAAAAAATCAAATCCAGATAATTATTTTCCAATATTTTTCCAGTCCTGTATCATAGGCGTAGTAGTACCAGACGTAGACGTAATCAAATGCTGGGCCCAAGAAAACAGCATTACAGGAACTTTCAGTGTTTTGTGCAATCATCCCGAAGTCAAGCAACTGATTCTGGACGATATGGTTGCTTGGGGCAAAGAAAGCGGCCTTAAATCCTTCGAACAAGTACGATATTTTTGAATCAATTCCAAAACAAACTTATTAAATTATTATTTGTAGGTAAAAGACATTTATCTTCATCCAGATCCGTTTAGCGTCCAAAACGGTCTGCTAACTCCCACATTGAAAAGCAAACGTCCTCAATTGAAGGCTTACTTCAAACCGCAATTAGACGATATGTATACACGACTTACCTAAAAGACTTTCCAGCACTCGAGTGTTAACTTTAGCTTAGTAAAAAGCACCTAAAAAATTAAGTTCTTTGCCTGTAAGAACGAGGATATTATAATTATTATTATTATTATTAGGAAATTTGCACGGTAATTAGTGCATTTAGAAGACATATAATTAATAATTTCATCATGTACCGGGTGATACTAGATAAGAGAGAATTTCAGCAAAAATAATATCTCTTTTTTATAACAGAAAATTTTTTAAATCAATTTTATGCCTCTGCATTTATTCTATAATTAGAAACAAAACGAATTTTGGTCCAATTACATTTTTGACAATTGAGGAGTGATTTTTCAAGCCTAGGAAATAACAAAATTTTAAATTTTAGTGGAATTTTTCATGCCTTTTCAATGTAATTGGACTATTTCTGCAAGCTTATATAGACAAAAATGAATAGTACAACCAGTGACCATGTTTTTTAAATCAAAATTCTAGAGATTTTTCAAAATAAAAACTAAGTTGAAGCTGTAGGTTGATTATATTATTGGTAGGTTTAATTGTTGATTTTTAGTTATTTTTCTTTCTTGTACCATAATTAGTCATATTCGTATTCCTTTTTGTTACAAATTGGGATTTTAAGCAATATAATCATATCGTTTATTGTTGCTACATACCTATTTTATGTAGCCAGACTTGTATTTATTTGACCATCATTATTGTTTTCTTTTTTTAATAATAAATAAATTATTATTGTTTTTATTTATTATAATAATATGTTCACTATAATGATGTAATATAAAGTAATTTTTTCCCCCCAAATTGTTGCAATTTTATTATTGTTTATGGAAAATAGCTACGTCAAGTTAGCCCCCCCATAACCGAATTTGAAACTTTTATGGTAGAAACCAATTGTGCTAGAATTGTGCTGGATTGTGCTATTATGGTAATTAGGTCTGTTCGCAGAGAAATCACAAACCAGTCAGAGTGAATCTCATTGGTTGAAACTAGTTTTCTGACTGTTTCTGATTGTTTTCAACCAATGAAATGCGCTCTGACTGGTTTGTGATTGCTGTGCGAACAGGCCTATTGAGTTATTTACAAAACAGTAGAGGGGGGCTAACTTGATGCTCAACCTCTCCATTTTTCTGAATTTCGAATTAAAATAAAGTGTCTTCCTTGAGAATCGGAATTGTGCTCCACATATTTTCCCTTCTACTTTACCCCATCACCCCATGTTTTGTTTAAACATTATGACGGGGCGCTATCTTGACGCTCAGCCCCTTCCCCATTTTTTTGAATTCTCAGTTAAAAAAAGTGTTTTCCTTGAGAATCGGAATTGGAATTTGTACTGCACATATTTTCCCTCTCACTATCCCATTTTTTGTTTACATTATGACGGCTTGCAGGATTTTTATAAATTTTGGTTTGAAAGAGTATTGAAATATGGCCGATAATATGGTGGTATATATTTATATGATTGTGGGATCTTTCGTTTTTCGGAAAAAATCAGAAACTTGGTTTTTTCAAATAGATCACCCTAAATATTATGCCATTTATGGATTCTGCGGAAAACTCTAGACATATTTCATATACAGTCATTATAGTACAAGAGCCAGTGAAAAAAAATCCGGCTGATTTTATTATGGCTGAAAAATTTAGAAAATGTAGAATTAATCATGAACAATACGAAATCGCGTGCCTGCCGCCTGCTCGTATCGGTTGCGTTTATTAATAAAAAAATGTTTAACGAGGTTTTGTAAAAGCAAAAACCGACTCATCGCGTTTTGCATGAAAATTTGTGTGATCATAGAACAAACACCCCCAAGTATGATTTCGAATGCCTGCCTACCTAAATCAGTTGCTAAATAGCACCTGTCAAATAAAAATCGACTGAAATTTTTCTCAAAATTCGACTCATCACGTTTCGAGTGAAAATTAAATATATCACAGTTAAAGGCATTAGAAGAACATTTCTGACTGCCTGCCCGATCAAAGCCGTTGCTTTCTAATGCCTGCCTGGTCCCAAAGTTCGGAAAATATGAAAATATGCCAGGTGGATGCACAAATAACAATGATTTCGTTGCAATGTTGCCAGACTTTTTTGACGACTTCCCTTCAACTGAGTGACAAAAACCCTTCAAAATCCTTCAAAACAGTGTCGATTGGCCGGCACCACAGTAATATATTATGCAATGATCATGTAATGATAGCTATTAATATACGAGCATGTTGTAGGATAGGAAACGAGCCGCAGGCGAGTTTCGTTATATAACATGCGAGTGTATTATTTGCCATTACATGAGAGTTGCATACACTATTTTTTCTACTTCTATTAATAAACGAAATACATATTTATTTTAAGAATAGTAAACTTCTCAACCGGTGACAATTGTTGACAACTATTGACAATTTCGAAAATTAAGATCTGGACGTTATTTGGGGATAAATTCTGCACTCGATTTATTAATTTGTTGTTGTTTCTTTTGGTAAATTCTAATAGAAACAATCCAAAACAAGTCTGTTATTTTTATATAAACATTGTTCATGTTCAAAATAACTCGATTCCAGTGGCTGAAAAATCTGTATCATAATGAAGTTCATATGAAACAGATATTATCGACTCTATAATTTAAGTAATTAATAAAACCACGATTTAATTTCGGTGATAAAGGTTGATCCATAGACAATAAAAAATAAAAAGACCTTCAAAAGTATAGCCGAAATAGGTTATACTATTACTGCGCATCCGGTTGCGCATAGCGCATTGCGGAATTTTTGGAAAGCTAGAGACTTACGAAAGATCATTCCGATCATTCGATTCTGTTTCATCTTTCTCTGTCATACCAATTCACAAGACAAGGACACAGTATGAGTTACAGATCTTTCCTAGCTGTTTTGTAGAAACCTTAAAATAACGACATTTCCGTGTTGAAATTTGTCATGTGTTTGTCATTTTTAACCGATTGGGCGGTCGTCTAAGAAGACTCGAACTCACAAAATCTAAAGAACAAAAAAAAGAAATTGTCATTTTTATTAAGGCACTCGGTATCGCGTACCTATAATATTATGTACAACTAGGATAAACTGAACCAGTAAGTATACATGTTAGTTTTGTGATATACGGCATATTTTTTTACTGTTTTAGGAGACCTCAGTCAGAAGAGATAAAATGTAGATGTTAGGCCTTGGACAGCTTAGCTTGTACATACATTAAGGCACGTATAAGGGATGTAATAACTGTGTTTGTAAACTCTTTAGGTATTTGACCTATCTAGCTATAATATAAGTATATTTTTTCTAGTACAATTTAGTGTTTATTTTGCCTTTTTTTTAAATCTACATCAAAAAATGGCACAAAACTTTATGGAGTACCACATCATTTTTCTCATTCGGATTTGAGAAAAAAAGATGTGGAACAACATAAGTAAGTTTTTTGTGCAATCAACTCAAGTCAAATTTCAAAATTCCCGCCATTTCAGTATTTGTTCCGGCTGCCACTATTGACGCCACCGTCGCTGTGACGTCAGCGCTATACAAACTTTCATGTTATCAATCAGGTACTCTTACCTTGGTTTATTATATTTCTCTATGGGTTGATCTATTTATAAAAATTACAATAAGCTTCTTCAAGAGAAAAGAAAGAAAGTCTTTACATAAGCTACCTCCGATGAAGTGTTCTCATCAACACCTCAATGGTCTGAAGTTCCCATGTGTGTACTTTATGACGTCCATAAAGAACATTTCTGACTGCCTGCCCGGTCAAAGCCGTTGCTTTCTAATGCCTGCCTGGTCCCAAAGTTCGCAAAGTATAAAAATATGCCAGGTGGAATACTCAAATTCACAAAATAAAAACGCATGGACCGTGCCGACACAGAGATGCACAAAGAACAATGATGTCGTAGCAGTGTTGTCAGACTTTTTTGACGACTTTTCTTCAACTGAGTCACAAAAACCCTTCAAAATCATTCAAAACAGTAGAGGTGGCCGGCACAACAATAGTTATTATCCTATCAAGTGCAGAAAGTTATACTTTCCTGCACGCGACTGCCGTTGACTCGAACGACGCGAAGCGGAGTTCAAGTAAGCAGTCAAGGGTAGGAAAAATACTTTATGCCTGTGTTACATTTTTTCTACTACCTTAGCAGAGTAGGCCACAAAGAAAATATGGGTTTTTTTTTATTAAACATATTATATTGAACATACACACATTTTTAAATAATCGACATTTATTTATCATTATACCTAGATGGGTACTGATAATGATTTTTCAACAAGCTGGTAAAATTAGTACTGCTGGGATTCTGGGATGAGTGTTTGACGCCATTGCCAAGCCGGTTATAGGTGAAGTCACTGGAGACAAAAGTTCTGATCTCAGATCTGGTACTGGGACTTTGTGTATAACTGGGACTCTCAGTTACTTTTTGATTATTGAAAATAGAGTATGCATGTTCAAGTTGGAAAATTTCTTGGTAAATTGCAGTCTTAAGTGTTACACCGATATTTTTTTGGGAGTGAATCCTACGCCTAACCGGTAGGTCCTTTGTTTTCCAACGGTCGTACGCCTACCAGTAGGTCCTTTTTCATCCACCGATTGTGCGCCTACTGGTAGGTAGGTCCTTTTTCGTAAATTGATCAAGCGCCGCTACTGGAGGTGTTTTATTACATTAGAATCCGTATATCCTACCAGTCAGCTCTTACTAGCTAAATGCGTTAATACAATTTTGTTTATTTACAAAATTGTCATTAGGAACTTCATTCACTGAGTAATAAGCCTTTATTAGTACTTAACATCTTTCTAATTTGGACTTTAAACTTGTTGATGTTTGAAATCTGCGTCATTTTAGACGGCAACCTATTGAAAATCCTTCTGCATACACCTTGAAATCATTTTTGAGTCTTCGATTGCTCGCTATGCTGGCCAAACCTCGAATAGAGGATCCTCGGGAGAGCAAATCCATCAAAAACGAGAAAAACCTTTTTCAAATATATCACCTTCTTGTTCAAAATATTTTTGAGTCTGCGATTGCTCGCTCTGCTCGCCGGTGAATCCACCAAAAACGTGAAAAACCTTTATTAAATAGGTATAACCCCTTGAAATTTAAAATATTATTGAGCCTCTGGATTGCTCGCTCCGCTCGCTAAACTTCAAAGAGAAGATTCTCGGAAGCTTAAATCCACCAAAAACGTAGAAAACCTTTTTCAAATATATCACACATCGAACGTAAATGGACAAATATGCACAATAATAGCGTACAATAGGTAAGCGACGGATTCTTGAATTAATATGAACCTACCGGTAGGCTCAGGATTCTTTTTACAAACAGTACCTACCGATAGGCGTTACCATAATGTTTGAGCGTTATACATACAGTAGGCACACAATCAATGAAACAAATGGGACCTACCGGTAGGCGCAGAGTTCACTCCCTATTTTTTTTGTCTCCATAGGTATATAAGGTGCGTTAAAAAACTATTTTTTTTTCAATGGAACGTCCTGTGAATTTTTGTTATCCAAATAGTGTTTGAAATTTTTGTGAAGCTAATTTTTTAGAATTTTAAAAATTCAAAAACATATACAGGGCAATCCATTAAAAAAATGACTTTTTTGACGCACCCTGTATACCTATGGCGCAAAAAAAATATCGTTGTAGCAATTAAGATCGTTGCAATTAACTAAGAAATTTTTCAATTTATACATGGCCTCTATTTTCAATAATAAAAAAGTTACTGAGTGTTCTAGCTATAAATAAACACCCTGCACCATTGGCGAATGACTGCTTGACAATGGAGATTTTGAGTCAATTGTCATAATTTTGTT